CAGGTCGAGGCTGCGGTGGCCGGGAGTGGCCACTGCACTCCAGTCTGGGCGACAGTGAGACTCCAACTCAAAAAAAAAAAAAAAAGAAAAACCACAGTACTATTTGTAAAAGGGGATAGTGGGTGGTGGCTGCCAAGAAAAAATTTCCAAGCACACTCCTTTTCAGTATTTATTCACAGGAAGAGCCTCCTTGGGGCAGCTGCAAACTGTTGTGTCCTTTTTTTTTTTGAATCGGAGTCTCACTCTGTCGCCCAGACTGGAGTGCTGTGGCATGCTCCCAGCCACCGCAGCCTCAATCTGCTGGACTCAGCGATCCTTCCACCTCAGCCTTCCAAGTAGCTGGAACTACAGGCGTACACTACCACACCTGGCTCGTTTTTATTTATTGTAGAGATGAGGTCTTGCCAAGTTGCCCAGGCGGGTCTCGAACCTGCGGGCTCAAGCAATTCACTCACCTCGGCCTCCCAAAGCGCGGGATTACAGGCTGAGCCACCGAGTCCAGCCTGTTGTGTCCTTGATGCTGTTTTTTACAGTCTGTACTTGCTTGTTGCAGGGCCCCGTGAAGCACGTGTACAGAGTCCTGCAGTGTCAAGAAGAAGAGCTCACGCAGATGGTCTCTACTATGTCTGATGGTTGGAAATTTGAACAGGTATCACTTAAAGAGCAGCAACCCTGGTAACTCATTCTAGGGGTCGGCAGCTCTTCAATCAATCATTGTCAATAGCCGGTGAATAACCTTAGGAGATCAGTAGGGCCATGTCAGACTCTGTTCCAAAACATGGGAAAAGAGCCACTTGGTGAGCATTGTTGGCTCAGTAGTACTTCATGAGTTGGGGAGAACTTGGAGGAGGACCATGTCTCCCAGCTTCACATCTAGAATTTCCAAGGGAGCCAACACGCATGTTTCGGTCTGAGAGTACCTCCCTTTGGTTTTTCCTTCCTCAGAGAGATTCTAAAATGGGTCCCTAAGGAAGACTGGGATTCAATAGCTAGCCTCCTTTCCTTCTCCCAGGGTCAGAACTTTATAAGTCTGAATATCTGTATAGTCCACCTTGAAAAACTTGGTGAACAGGTGTGGTGAGAAGTTTGGCATGGTCCTTTCCCATTCTTCTCTCCACTTCAGTTCTTTTAGCTTTGTGCTTATGATTGTGATATCAGAAATAAAGCTACTGGCCAGGTGCGGTGGCTCAAGCTTGTAATCCCAGAACTTTGGGAGACCGAGGCAAGATAATTGCTTGAGCCCAGGAGTTTGAGACCAGCCTGGGCAACTTGGTGAGACCTCATCTCTGCAGTAAATAAAAAAATTAGCTGGGTGTGGTAGTGCACCTGCAGTTGTAGCTACTTGGAAGACTGAGATGGAAGGCTCGCCTGAGCCCAGCAGGTTGAGGCTGCCGTAGCCGTGAGCGTGCCACTGCACTCCAGCCTGGGCGACAGAGTGAGATTCCAACTCAAAAATAAATAAATATATAAATAAAAATAAAGCTACTGAGAGAGTCTTATTGTTTTCTTCCATTAGATGGCAGAATTGCTCAATTTTCTATTGCCTTCAAAACATAGGAAGGCAAAAGTGAATAGAGTGAATATAATTTTATATGGATTATGCCTATTGATGTGTGGAGCTTAAAGGTCAACTGAACTGTCATCATAAATTTACCATCTAAAATAAAAGTTAACCGGGCTCGGTGGCTCAGCCTGTAATCCCGCGCCTTTGGGAGGCTGAGGTGAGTGGATTGCCTGAGTCCGCGGGTTCGAGACCTGCCTGGGCAGCGAGACCTCATCTCTACAATAAATCAAAAAATCAGCCGGGCATGGTAGTGCATGCCTGTAATTCCGGCTACTCGGAAGGCTGAGGCGGAAGGATCGCCGGAACCCAGCAGGTCGAGGCTGCAGTGACCGGAAGCGGCCACTGCACTCCAGTCTGGGCGACAGAGTCAGACTCAAACTCAAAAAAAAAAAAAAAAAAAAGTTAAAGGCCATGCATGGTGGCTTACACCTGTGATCCCAGCACTTTGGGAGGCTAAGGCAGACAGACTGCGTGAGCCCAGGAGCTTGAGACCAGCCTAGGCAACATAGTGATACCTCATCTCTACAGAAAATAAAGAAAAAATTAGCCAGACTTGGTGGCCCACACCTAAAGTTCCAGCTACTCAGGAGGCTGAGACGAAAGGATTGCCTGTGCCCAGGAAGTTGAATCTGTGGTAAGCCATGCCATTGCACTCTAGCCTGGACAACAGAGTGAGACCCCAGCTCTGAAATAAAATAACTGGGTGCAGTGGCTCATGTCTGTAATATCAGCAACTTGGAAGGCAGAGGCGAGAGGATTGCCTGAGCCCAGGGGTTCTTGACCAGCCTGGGCAACTTGGCAAGACCTCATATCTACAATAAATCAAAAAATTAGCTGGGTGTGGTGGCACGTGCCTGTAGTTCCAGCTACTTGGAAGACTGAGGCAGAAGGATCACCTGAGCCCAGCAGGTCAAGGCTGCTGTAGCCTGAGTGTGCCACTGCACTCCAGCCTAGGCGACAGTAAGATTCCAACTCAAAAACAATAATAATTAAATTAAAATAAGTTACAGTTTGTGTTAACAGCACTATGTTATAGATCAATGCAAAGCTGTCTGCAGAGGCAACACTGATTATTCCTCACATTTGTCTCCCACTACCAAATCAGGACTGCCTGCATTTTTCACCCTAGTTCTTGTTTGGGTGTGGGTTGCAAAACATTGCCAAGAGTTTTATGTCCTTCACTCTAGAAGTGTTTTTCCTGATACAAAGTCTTAAGCAAAAGGTATTATTTTTTTAAATTACTCTGTACAACTAATGAATAATTTTTTTTTAATTGGAGTCTCACTCTGTCGCCTAGACTGGAATGCAGTGGCACACCCCAGCGTTGACCTGCTGGGCTCGACAATCCTTCTGTCTCAGCCTTCCAAGTGGCTGGAAATACAGACACACGCTACCACACCTGGCTATTTTTTTTTTTTTTTTTTTG